GAAGCGTACCTGAAAGGTACGATTTAGTATGAGGTATAAATATGAACATGACAAACCACCCAGTGAATGTTGCTAAAGTATTTTCCAGTTCAATCCTGGACATCATATGAGAGCTTTCTAAGAATAAATCCATGTGGTTCTCAGGCGGGGTGGATAGTTTCTTAAAACGGATCAAGTAATAAAGAATAAATAAAACTTTGAAAGATTGTAATCTTTACCTCACACTCGCTGTCTTTTTTTGTCTCTGACAGTTTAAACGCAACTCCAAAACGTATGCTCTACAAAAGAAGAAAAGAAAATAGTGAGGGTTTAGTATCATGAATTCCATATATAGCACCCCTTACGGTCACACAAAACCCCAAGGATCACGCAAGCATCAAGCTCCCCTAGGATCTTCAACCCCCACTCTGATAACCCTCTCATGAGCGGCAAGTCAGCGACCCGATCCCTTTAGATACCAGCAAACGTGCCGGCTCGATGGATCGGATTTACGTCAAAGCAGGAAGAAAAAGTCACGTGGATTGATTGAACACTCACGAAGTTGACTGAACAATTGCAACTGAGAAAAGGGTAAGTTAGTCATGCTGATTTGTCGGGTACCAAAACTTCGATATTGAATCGGCGTGCAGAATGGCCATCCGATGCACCTATCACTGCGTGTAAAGTCTCACAAGTCGATCTTAATTGAGAACATCTATGAGAGATACACAGATCCTAGTCTGCCGGGCTTCACTTTGGAAATAAAAACGGAAACGAACAACAAATTATGTCTTCAGCCCTTTCACTGTGCACAAATTAAATCATATATTACCCGCCATTTTGTTTTTAAAACAACGACAAAAATATTCTCAGTGTCTCAGACTGCGCTTTTAAAATGAACAACCAATAAACTAAAGAAAGTTCACCTCGTTTATGTACTCACTTTCTTTTCAGTTGTAAACTTCCAAGACAGCGTCGCCCGGGTAGTTCCCACTAACACTTGGATCAAGTGACGTTTTCCGGGGGGTACGGTCACGTGCCAAAACTGACCGGGCTCCTCGTTCACCGTGGGTATGGCCAAATCTTCCCGATTGTCGGTTTCACTGACCACCACTTGAGCTTCCGGCTGTTCACATGCTTCTTCGTCACCTTCGTCTACAATTTCGTAGCCTTCGTCGTCATCATCCTCTGCTGACGAGTCGCGAGCTACAGGTTGTTCAACCGGTTTCTTGGCTGCTGCTTTTGCCTCCGCCTTTTTTGCAGATTTCAAGGTAGTATATTTGTGATTTTCCTCGCTTGTAACGCTCTGGCTTCGCTCCTTGTCATTGGTTCCCTTTCTGTCGGGCTTTTTAGGGGTGGAGGTGGACTGGGGAGGATCCAGGGGATCGGCGCTCGAGGTACTGGGTCCTAAATAAGTTAGCAGCAACAATAACAGTTAAGAACTAAAACGTACAACTTTGCAAACAAAATGGATTTGCCAAGTTGCTGTCTGGTCAAGTTGGAGTTAGTGTGTCTAACCAAACGCCTCATTTCACCTCGAACCAGACAACTAAAAACTGCAAATTGTGTCAATAAAATCCACAAGCCCGACAGATAGTCCAAATGCCCCCGGCCAACGGACAAGACTTGTTTGCGTCCTGCAGTGCTCCCCCGGTTTAACGAACTCATTTGGTCAACAGTTTGTCAATTAACACCGATTGATTTTGAGAGATTATTATCCCCTAACTCCACAGGGAAAACAACTTTAGTAAGGGCTATTTTTGTCGATTAGGTCATGTTTGTCAACTTTGTACTTAAAGGAAAGGGTAATCTCTGTGTCGTACCAAGTGGTCCACTGATATCGCCAGAACTTATACTGGTTTCTGTAGCATGAAGTGACTAGGAGTATTTCTTCCCACCCCCTACACCCCGCCATCAACCTTGTTCTTTTGTTGGCGTATTTTTAACCCTTCGGCGTTCGTCACTACTCATCAATAAGTAGAACTGTCTTTGATATACCACCAATTTCTCAGAAACTAATCTTAAAATTAAAGAAATGTATCGCAGCCAGTTCGGAGAATTCGCATCTTGAGCATGGGACTAGGAATTACAATGCGTACCTGGCTGAGAGTCACTGCGAGTATCGGCAGCGTCCAGGCCACCTGTGTCGCTTTCATCCGGGCCACTCAGCACGCTTCCGGTGCGCTGTGACGTTATTTCACTGACATCTGATTTGGTTTCCTCATCCATTTCTGGTGGCCTTCCCACAAGCTGGGGTTTGAGTCGTTTATCGGCATTTAAACAAGCAATGCAGACTCGACGCAGCTTCCTAAACCAGAAAGAGCTACATGTCAGAAAATTGGTAAAGTGACGCAATGAACTGGAAACAGGAGACGATGACTCTCTTGCTGGAAATTAGAAGCTGGCATTTATGAGACGTTCACTTCAAGTAGACAACTGAACGGAACTGAGAACTGGTGCTAGCTACCAAAGAAATTCCTATTTTGCTTCGAGTTTGGCAGAACGAAATCCCAGGAGGAAGTCAAGACAGTCGAGTCATCGAAGCAAGTCAAGAAATCCAAGCGAGTCAAACCAAATAGGCGAGTCAATAATTAAAAGAGAGGAAAAAGTCTCTTGTCAGTTGATTAGAATACAGAGGCATTGTTTAGCTATATTATTATTTTCTACAAAATGTTTTGAACAATTTAAAGGAACGGAGAATTAAAACTTGAAAACGTCACAGGGCGTTTCTAATTTTGTCCACAGTGCAATCCATTTCCATTGTCGCCTTCATCTTCATCTTCATTGTCGCTTTTGTCCTCCCATCCTAAAATTCCCGTCATTTGACAACTACTGATCGACAAAACGAACTCACAATGCGACTACTCCAAACAAGGCAAAGTAAGCAAATTCTTTGCAAATTGACAAAGAGTGCTTGCGTGTTTAGACGATTACAATGGTCACAATATCATGGCTTCTGTAGCCTGCAGTTTGCTGAGAGTGGCAATTTGTCAGAATGCTTTTGTTCATCCGAGTTTTTTCTGCGTCAATTCGCACAGATTTTTGTCGAATGGCCTTGTTTGAAGCAGTCGCACTACAACCGCTGGGTCGTTGTGAACTGCTAAAATCAAATGACACGATAAATACCTGCTGTGAGGAGTTTGAAGCCAGTTATTGGAACAATTATGACAGAAGATGCGGCCACATATTCTACAATGATGCTGAGAAAATAATGAAAAAAAAAAAAAAAAATGAAAAAAAAAAAAAAAAACATCATTCCTTAGTCGTTTGAATCGTAGCATTAAATCGCAGAATCCAAGAATGAATTCTTGAATCGAAAAACGGATTTTGCGTTTCTTTCCTAAACAGATTAATCGAGGATCGCTTGGTTCATGGTACATCAAAGAACCAAAGAATTCACCCTGGGTAAGGTTTCGTCGCTTCCTTTGAGGTTCCATGATCCGAGTGATCCTGGATTAAAACTATTTAATAAAGAAACGCAAAATCTGTTTTTCAGTGTAAGGATCTAATNAAAAAAAAACGCACCCTTTACTTACTAGTAACAACAACGCTAGGACCTCGGCGAGGGCCTGAACCCGAATCTCTGGATGCGCGCATTGACCTCCTGGCCAATGGGCTTCTGAGCAAAAATACGGCAATGGATATTGACGACACAAACCTTTCTCACGAGAAAAGAGAATTCGGCCTTGCATCCGAGACAGTGCGATACTTCGCTGTCATCCATCCATCTGTCGTCAGCTTTCACCTTTATTTCATGCTCCATGTCGTCTGCTTTCTGCCACAACTCGGCTTTTTCTCTGAAGTGAACATCAACTGATTCATTCAAGTGAAGTCCTAGCCAAACGGACTCGCAAGTAGACGAATGTTGAAAACTTGGGTCTACTTGCGAGTCTATTTGGCCAGGCCTTGCGTGCACTTGCGTTGACTTGTGATGACTTGCGCTCACTTTGATCGAGATCAAATTTGCACGCACGTCGACGCAAGTTTTTCACCCTTTGGCCACCCAACCCAAGTCAACACAGGTTGAAAGACGTTCACTGGTTGTTATAGAAACCTATTAGCCAATGAAATACAGGATATGGGCCTTGAAATGGGACTCGATGTACTTGCGAGGAAACTTACGAGTCCGTTTGGTCACCCAACGCAAGTCTCTTCGCAAGCTCAACTTGTGGCTACTTGCGGCTTCTTACGAGTCCGCTTGGCCAGGGCTTAAGAGATAGCACACACGTGCTTCATGGGAAAATAATAATATTTTGCCATTTCAAGTTTAATCCAGTTTTCGACGGCCATAACATCACATTTCAAGAGAGAACCACGAAACTTGATTATTGGACAATTATAACCAGATAAAATTAAACACCAGACTTATTTTTGCCAAGTCCGCTGTTTTTTTTGGCAATGGGGCAGACGGTTTACTATTTAACAGTACTTTCTGGGAGTAATAGAGCAGTTTTCAATCGAGTGTGGAAAGTAATCAGACAATTACTTTGTTTCTGGTTTTGGTTTTAGTTTGGTTTGAGATTAGCTGAGTAGTCTAACTGGTAAGTAATTGGTTTGGTTTCGGTTTTACGACACTTAATTGAAAACCGCTCTAATACGCAGTTGCTAGAGCTTGCGTTTGTTGTTGTATATTGAAACTCGCGCAACAGGCGAGCCATGGCCAATCAAATCATACTTCCCTTTTACGTTAACCAGTCAGGAGCAAAAGTGACTCAACAGATGCTCGTTTTCCCGCGCTTGGCTGTGGTTATATGTTCTCCCACGTTTGGCGGCGGTTTAATTTTTCCCGCGCTTGCCTGCGACTACATGTTTTCCCGCGCTTGGCTGCGACTACATATTTTCCCGCGCTCGGTTGCAGCTACATTTGCGGCGGTTACATTTTCCCCGCGCTTGGTGGAAGTTACATGTTTCCCGCGCTTGGCTGCGATTACACGTTTGCTTAGCGCAACAAACGTAAAGATACTGCAGAAAGATCGGAAACCATCATACCTAGTTACCGCAACCAGCCTGTTTTTCAGTTCCTCCATGTCTTCCTGCACCTGAGCTATTTTTGCCTCATACTGCTGATTTGTCAAACCTTTCTCCTCTTCGACTTCGTCAACTTTCTTTTTCAGATCTCGCTGCCTGGATCGTTCCTCTTCCAACTGTTTTGATGTCAACAGGAGCTCGTTTTCCAACGCGCGCAGTTTAAGCTTGTTTTCGTCAAATCCAGTCTTGTACTGTTGTACCTAAACGTAAAACACAGCTATTAAGTCCGTGACAGAAGCCAGGGGGCGTGAACATGAAAAAGTCGGGGATGCTAATCAGAAAATTTGAATTAAACCCCTGAAGGAAACCAATCCGGTCGTGGTTCGAGGTTAAGATACCACTTAAGACAGAATAGGCTTCCGCTGTTCAGGAAAGGAGCCCGCGCTAGTAGTCCGACCTCGAGAGACCGGCAGAAATCGAGTACAAAAAATTGCAATAAGGGCGGTTTCTTATTATAATTATTCCTTCGAGTGTACCCTTAAAGATACTTTTACTGTTAAAAATAGTGGCGTTTCGTCTTGAACATCCTAAGTGAGACCAGAATCCTTGATTTATACCCTAAGCGAGACGACGAGCAACCACGACCTTTTCGGGAGGGGGGCGGGGGAGGGGAAGAAGCTATTGCTAATGACGCAAGTCGGACACCACCAGCCACTGCCATGATTTACAAGAGATTCTCGAGGCTACACTATTAAAATACGTTCGAATATAATAAACATCACCATGGTCTTCTTGGGATTAGTTTTGACGTTTACCCCGCATAGCTATCGGGATTTCCCGCGCGAGAAATTTGTCAGATCGGCGGGGTATCTAACGGAGAAGCCGCAAGGAGAAGCTGTAAGGCACTAGTCAGAAACTTTTCCTCGCGGCTTCGCGACTCCACCTCGGTAGCAAAGCACTCGCGAGCCGTTCATGCAGGATATTTTGCCAATCCGTGAGAACATGTGGTAAGAAATGACGGCACAACTGAGTTAAGCTTGCTAGGAATTCTTATATGAAAATACTCCGACTCAGTACACGGTATAAACCATTATTTCTAACCTTGAACTAACCTCGTTTCGAAGATGTTTTATTTCCGACACGTATTTGTGCTTGTCGTGTTGTAGAGTGTCATTCCGTTCTTTTAAACGAGCTTCTAGGTCAGCAATTAACTCCTGTTGTTCTGATAAGCGCTCTTTCACACTGTTATACTCTTGGATTTGATCTGACAAACTCTACAAAATGAAAAAACAAAATCGCGAGAAACACATTCAAGTGAAAAATTCGATATTCCCATTACAGTTCGAGAACGGTTCAACCTCTTACTTTCAGCATTCAGCATTTTAAACTGATGTAATTTTCTATTTGTCTTAGAAATTAATTAAACTAAAGCCCACTATTCGAAACGAATGAAAATTTTTTAAGACTCGTTTGTAAGCTGTAAAAGATAAAACGATTTACGTGCGTTCTAGGGAAAGGATCGGAGAAACCTTTACACTGATCAGTTTTCAATCAGTGAGTAGGAGTAGTACTTACTCCTCCCTAGATGGGCTGTTAGTCCATTGGAAGGCACCCCCCCTCCCCCCTCGTCTGTCAAGCTTCTTGACAGCCCATTTATTCTCCTTGGCCACGGCTGGGCGGAGAAAGCAACTACCCTGGTTAGAAGTCGAATCCTAATTTCTGGATTCGGAGTTAATCTGCCGGACTGTCCACGAGGCACTGTCATCACCAATTAAAAAAAATTACCTCAAATCTTTTTTATATCAGTCTTGTTCAGAAAGCCCTGGTTTCAAGTTAACCACTTATCTCATACCTTGAGTTCAGTTTCATATTTCATTGTCTCAGAGCTGAGCTGAAATTTAAGCGCCGCGATTTCTTGATCCATCATGCATCGCAAGCTCTCCAGTTGCTCCTGCGCCTTGACCTGGCCCTGCTCCGCACGAATCCTCGCCTCATTGGCTGCTTCCAGTTGTTGCCTAGCAACGTCCAACTCGTGCTCCAAGCCGATCCTCTCGTCCTGACAGTTCGACATCTTCTCCTCTAACGTTTTGACCTGGTCATCCAGGTCTTTCTTTTCAGCGTCTATTGTTGTTAGCGTATCTGTAATGTTTGCTAAGTCGGTTTCTAGTCTTTGTTTAGATTCAACAGTCTCCTCAAGCTGTTCTTTCAGAGCTGCTAGTTCGTCTTGCGCGTGCGATATCATTTTCTGCTCCTCGTCTTGAAGGCCTTTAAGTGTTGTCAGTTCATTCAAAGCCTGGCACTTTTCTTCAACAACCAAAGATATGTCTGACTTTAACGACTGTTCTGATTTCTCGAGTTGTGCAAGCTTGTCATCCGCTTCCATTTTCTCCTGGAACGAGAACAAATAAAATGCTGCTGGTCACGAAGAGACTGAGATGGCCGGAGTGATCAGTCAAATATTTCCGCGGCCGTGAAAACTGGATGCAATGTTGGTCCATACCTTTTCAAGGAGATCTTTTTCTTCATTAATAAATTCGATTCTTCTTCGTGAGCTGTCGACTTCTTCATTCAAACTGCAAGCATTTTGATCAAAATCAGTCTTTATCCGTTGCCTGAAATTATTCTAAGGAGGTGATGCTAAAAACTAGATACGATTTTGAGACGACCTTACCGCATACATGACTTGCAAAAAATCTTGGACGTAAAGAATTTCGGACGTTTAATTTTCGAACACTTTGCTGAAACATACCTAAAGTAAGTTTACGACTACAAAACACGAATTAGACTGAAACAACATCTATGAAAATGATAGTTTTACTGCACTGTCAAGGTTTTACAGATACACTGACGGGGAAATAACACAAATTGTATCGAGCCGTTACGTGGCTCAAGCAGTGTCTCAACTGGAGTTCATTTGATAAAGGAAACTAGGAGCTTTTGAGTTACTTAAAATTTTTATACTGTACTGTGAATATTTCGGACGCATAAAATTTCGGACGGTTTTACTTTCGGACCCTTTTTTCTGGTCCAAACATTAAAAAGTCCGTAATGTAATACTGGTGGCGAGTCGGGAGAAACTATTTACTCAAATATTATATCAGGTGTTTCTACCGGGGGNGGGGGGGGGGCGAGGTAATACAGAATGCCGTGTTACAATAAACAACACTCCATCCGCAAGGAACAATGTCTTCTGTTCCCGTACATCAAAATGTTTATACTATATTTTGGACTAATTACGCACTCACCTTATAATTTCTATCTTCTTCTGTTCAATATTCCCCTGCAGTTCAGCTACATGTTCTTCTAACTGTTCCTTCTGAGTACTTTTCTCGTTTAGTTGATGATGAAGGGATGACATCTCTTCTACAAGATGCTTGGCTCGCTAGAAAACATAGTACGACAAAATAAAAGCGACGAGTTGTGAGAAGGTGCAGCATGGAGTGAGCTAAGTTAACTTTACTTCCCCATTTCTACTTACAATATTATAAAACAATTTGTTCATGTTTTTAGCTTTGCATCGAGTTATGACGCACTTGGGAAGTTTGGAGAGCACTCAAGAAGCTAGAGTTGCTTACGCTTCTTAGACTGTCCCAACTGCACACGTGCAGTCATAACTCGGTGCTCGTGCTAAAGCTTGCCTAGTTCCTAAGCTTCAATATTTCGCCGCGGACAATCCCTTTTGGATCGTCTGGTCCAAGCGAAAAACGGTTCGTCTGGGATACGTCACCGAAATAAATGAATCGTTCAGGACTGAGAGAACTAGGCAGTACTCAGGGCCCGTCCGCAGCACGCCGGAGAAATTTGAAAACGCAGCTTTATTTCTACGGTTGGGCCTACCGCCTACAATAATCCGTCACGAGGACGGAGCTTTTCGAAAACGCTCTTCAAACCGAAGGAATTTGAAAACGCCGGCTGTGCGTTTTAGTGTGGACGGTAAACATTTTGAAAACGGAGCTCTTCGAAAACGATGACGTCACGACAATCACGTGATTTCCCTGTCTGAGTTTTCCTCAAATGCAAATCCAAAATGACCGGTGATTGTTGCGTTGTTTAATTCCTTCGGCGTAGAGTGGACAGAGCCTAGAACATAAATGAGACTTACGCGCATTGAAATGATTTCGTACCTTTAAAATAACTTTGCTGAAATCTTTTGCCACGTGGTGACCATCCTGAACATCGACGCCTTCCTGACTTTGAAAAGTTTCGTTTAGTTCAGACAGAAAAGTTTCTTGCATCTGCTCCTGTGACTTAAGCTGCGTTCTCAAGTCTTGAATCACGTTTTGCGACTCGATGCTAGCGTTTTCGAACTCCTCGATTTTCGCCTTTGCCTCTGCAAGTTTAGCCGTGAAGTCTCTATTTTGTTGCTGGATCTCCACCATGTTTGTTTCAAGCCTTCTGTTTTCAGCGCTTTGGTTTTGCAAGCCTCTCTCTCTATCCATGAGTCTACCTTTCAACTCGCTCTCCAGCTCTTCAAAAGACCCAAACACCATCCCGTTCAACTTTTCAAAAGATTCTTGCACTCTCTCTAACACTACTTCTTTTGCTTTGAGCTCTCCCTGCAACTCTGCAACTTTTTTGTTGGATTCTGTTTCAGACAATTCAAGCTTGTTACACTTTTCTTTTAGTTCTGACAGCTTCGTTTCTAGTTCTACAGTCATTTCATCTTTCCGTTTAAGCCGTTCTTTTAATTGCTCGCATTCAGAAGTCAGTTCGCTCTGTTTTCTCTCCGAGGCCGTGATAAGTTTTTCCAGTTCAATGGCGGACCTTTGTGCTTCATGTGACGAGCTCACAGACACCCTAACTTCCTCTTTAAGAGTCTCGATCTCGGCTTCCCGTTGACTCAATGCCTTTTCCGCTGTAGTTAGCTTTACAAACAGTTCTTTCACTTTAGCATTCATTTCCTCTGACACACCTTTCGTTAAATTGCTGTATCGTTCATTAAGCTGCTTGATTTTAAGCTCGTAATCTTGACTAGTAAACTTTCGATCATCGTTCGCCTTCTTGGCATCATTTGAAGCTTTAGATAGTTGAGATTCCATATCAGCTTTCCATTTCAAGATTCGCTGGTGAAGATGAGAGATTTCCAATGTCATATCAGTGATGGTAGGAGTTTCCACTGTTGAATCAGCCATGCTCACATTATCTAAACCACCATCTGACAGTTCTGTCTTTCCGAGGGAGTTTTCCTCGACAAAGGTCGCTTTTAAAGCTGAAACCTCTGATGCTAGGCCAGTAAGAGGGTCTGGTCTCTCATTCTGTAAAAGGTACACCATACCGTCAGATAAAATGCCAAAAGTCTTGGATTAAAGATTACATTAACGTCACCAACAGTGACCAGAATTAAATTTCTCCTAAGAATATCGATAAAATATCATGCATGATGGTAATAAGAATTTAATAACTAAAGGGAAAATAGATAATCAAGCGAGAAGTGAGGAAAAAAAAGAAGGAAAAAAAATTGTTTCCAAAGTCTTTTCTTTGCTATACTTTAAATGGGCTTGAAATCTTTACGTTTAGTTAACTTTAATCAACTTTTAGTTGACTAAAAGTTTGATAAAAAAAAGTTTTAAAATATGTTTTTAATAGTTTAATAATATACAATCATGAAAAAATTACTTGATTCTGATTGGCTGAGAGCAGTGCAGTTAAAGCGTAACACTTAAGTGCACAAAGTGTAACACCAGTGCAAATTACACATCATAATTCTGGATTATGATTGGCTGAGAGACAATAGGAAATTTTCTAAGCCAATGATATCACGTAAAATGATAACGAAAACTTAGTGCAGAAACTTTGAAAAAAGTTTTCTCGAATGAGAAATAATGGCTTTAAGAAAGATATTCTGGCACTTCCTCCAAGCAAATTTTTTCATGTTTATATAATTATTAGCAAGTAATCATACGGTTTTTCTCATTCAATTTGGAATTAACTTGTACTTGTGAGTTTTTCAAAAGCTGAAATTGCGCGAGCTGAAGTGGCTCATGCAATTTCAGCTTTTTGAAAAACTCACTTGTGCAAGTTGAACAAGAAAAACCGTCTGATTACCTATACTAATACTACTTACTAACAAATCTTAACAGATGAAAGCTGCACAAATTTATATGCTTTTATAAGATTATGATTGCTGTTCTAGATCTCTAAATATCAATTGAGAAAAAAAGCACAAGCACCCAGGACCACCACAAAATCGACACAGTTCTGTAAGGATCAGTACAATGTTCCCTTCGCTAAGCAATTTCTGTCAAATAAATCACAGACTCAGTCACTTCTATTTGTCAAACAGACTCAGTTTGTACAGTCAGTACAAATATTAACTGTGTTCTTCCTTGATCATGGAAATTTGAACAGATTTGTTCCACTCAATCACTGAAGTGTATCATACCCTCAAGTCAACACTGGTCATGCTACTGACACTGCTGCGTCGACCAGATACAGAACCTTGATTGTCCATAAACGACCTCCTGGCAAATATACAATATGTACAATTCAGTCTCAAAGTGATGTGAAGTGTGATGATATGTTCAACAGACTGAGTGCATCAAGAAGCTTAAAACGAAAACGACTGGTTGTGCAGGTGCATGGAATCATGATCACATCAGATCTAACACATGTAACACCAAGTTACAACTAGCTATGTAAAGACATCATTTCAAAAATTTCTTGCTGATTTTTCTAACCTCCATCAGGCTGTTACCTTTGTACGAGAAGTTGCTGGAGGGTTTAATGTCGCAACCAAAGGATGTTATATCCTAAGGGGGCCATTACACTGTACAAATGTGCTGAAAACATTATCAGTCTATCTATCGGATCTAATCTTCTAGAAAGCTCAAGCTAGGAACATAGGCCCGAAAGGCGTGCAGAATACTAACTTTAAGATAATATTATTGTCAGTACACATACCTTGAAAATGCTGGCCATGATATATCAAGCTCATGTCCTCCACAAGGAAGATCAAACTCAAGGTCATTCAAGTCATACAATTTGTTAACCAGAGCAGTTGACAGGGAGGGGTGGCAGAGGATTGCTGCAGGATTGTAAAATGCACTGAAATAGAAAGTACAAAAAGTTGTTCTAGGGTTAAAAAATCAGAGTTACTGTAAATAACAAACTATCGATAAGCCACTAGACTTGATTTCCACTGTTCTTTCAGGTCCGTTTGCACTGTTCCTCAACTGCAGTCTCCTTTTCCAAACAGCAGCTAATATGCAGATGACTTTCTCACATAAGGTGACTGTACAAAATGTCAACATTTGCCTACCTCAATTGTTTTCTCATGACCAAACACCTCTGAATTGCATCTGCCAGTGACTTTTTAACCAGTGAGTAGCGAATGAAAGCTCTTCCTTTGCCTTGGGGTGTTCTGACCTTCAAGTAAAACAACATTCACTCAGAATTTAAATGTATCAAACTAAGTATTTAGAATACCTTTTTAAAAAAAAAAACAAACAAACAAACAAACAAACAAAAAAGCATTTTGACATCACTCTAGCCTGACAAATTAATATTACATGGACTCCTCTGCGACTTGATTCAGGTCAAAATACAATGCTACTGAACTTAGAAACAATATTTTGCCATCCAGTTGTTGATCTGTTATTAAGTACAATACTTTCAATTTTCTTACTGGCACTTCTAATTTACAAATAGGCATCTAACATCTTAGCATCTCAAAATAATAGCTGACAGACAGACATCATACCTGCGGTATAGCATGAACAACTCTGACTCCATCATCTTTAGGAATGCAGTCACTAATAAAATTCCAGTAGTCCTTTCTCACCCCAAGAAGAGAATATTTTTCTACAGTAAATAAAATGCATTTGATATGAAATTGTAAATTTATCTTTGTTAACAAATTAGAAAGCTGTATCCATCAAATGTATTGAAAGATATTTCTAAGACTCATTCACAGGAACCTTGGAGAGTTGGTTACTGAGTGATAGAGTTAAGAAATTTACAAAATTCATTGGAGAGTTGGTGACTGAAAGCAAGAAACCACAAGGCTTAGATTATAATGTTACTCAGCCTCCTTATCACCACTAATAAATTAACGTTGGACGTTACCCTTTTGCTCATGTCTCAGCACAGTCTCGAGCTTGACACAGAACTTATGAAGAATGGTCTCGTCATCAGTCACTGGTAACTGCGATGACTGGTAGGTGTTCTTTAATTCAGATATGTAACCTGTTCACAGCGGTAAAAAAAATATAGCAAAAGTGTGTCAGGAAACAGAGACGACTGGCCAGGGGCATAACAAGGGAAGGGTTCCAAGGGTTCTGAACCACCCTCCCCTCCCCTCCCCCACCTTTCAAAGTTTCAAATTTTGACAAAAAGGAATAATAAAATAAAATAAAATAGAATAGAATAGAATAGAATAGAATAGAATAGAATAGAATAGAATAGAATAGAATAGAATAGAAT